CTGGGAAGGTGGCTCAGTGGTAGAGCGCTTGCCTTGCATGCATGAGGCCCTGGGTTTGATTCCTCAGCACCACATAAGCAAAAAGAAAAAAGCCGGAAGGGGCGCTGTGGCTCAAGTGGTAGAGCACTAGCCTTGAGCTGAAGAGCTGAGGGACAGCGCCCAGGCCAAGAGTTCAGGCCCCATGACCGGACAAAAAATAAATAAATAAATAAAATTCAAACATTGAACTCCAATATATACATGGACTTACCCTTTGGTTTTAGGTGTTTCTTACAATGGGAACTTCCTAAATATCAAGATTTCTCAATAAGCCTATTTTGTTTGAAAGGGAGTGGGTCGTGCTCTGTTGTTGGGTTGGCTAGGAATTTCCAGGATCAGGTTAACCTGCTCTTTCAGCCTCCCAAATAGCTTCAATTAAAGGCACCTGCCACCATACCAGCCTCTACTAGGACTTTGACCACTTTCTTCAGATTTACAGGTGAAAATATTATGAAAAGTTTATTTGTAAGAAAATAAAAGATGACAACATTAGCATCATTCATTTTTTACTAATAATTTTATTCACATATAATTCAGACACCAAATAATTCACCCCTTTAAATTATGCAAAACAAAAGGTTTTGGCTGGGAATATGGCTTAGTGATAGAGTACTTGCCTAGCATGCTTGAAGCCCTGGGTTCAATTCCTCAGTACTCCACAAACAGAAAAAGCCAGAAGTGACATTGTAGATCAAGTGGTAGAATGTTTGCCTTGAGCACAGAGAAGCTCAAGGACAGTGCCCAGGCCCTGAATTCACGTCCGAGGACCAGAAAAAAAAGTTTTATTTGTATATGCTAAGTATACAAACAATCATGACCACAACAATAGCAGAACATTTTCATAAAACAAAAGAAATTCTGTACCTTTAGCAAATTCTGTACCTTTCCAAAAATTCTGGTCCCAGATAATGACAGATCTACTTTTTGCTTCTTACACATTTATCTCCTCTGGACATTTCACGTAAATGGCTATAACTATGTGGCCCTTCTAACTGGATACTTTTACTTAGCATAATGTTTTCTAGGATTATCACATAGCATACACCAGCACTTGATTTCTCTTCATGATTGAATGCCCATTGTGTGGATATACCTCATTTGTTTGTCAACTAATCAGTTAATACATTTCCAATTTTAGATTATTGTAATTCTGTTATTAACATTTGGGGATGCAAGTTTTCCTATTGACCAGTCCACTAACTTTTAATCACATTGAAAAAATCCAAAAAAGAAACTTTTAGTAAAAGACATAAACTCTGCAGTATCTGTTTTGTAATCATCTCAGATGTTTCAAGATTCAAGCACTTCCACACACCAACTCACCAAGGCTTGTCATGACCAAGAAACAGGCACCTCTACTCCATCGCAGAGTTTAGAAATCCTCGAAGACTAGACATTCTCTAAGTCCCTTTTTACACAAAGTGAATACTACTTTGTATTCCTTCCCTTTGACCAGTAATAAAAAGTAATGACCATAAAGACTAGGGCTGGTTGTGAACATTCCCTGACTGGAAACATGGAGCAAGAACTATTACCAAGAAGCCAGCAAGCAGAAGCACAACTGCACACATATGCTTTAGCCTTAGACAGAGGGTGTGTGTGAATGTGGCCCCAAAGACTTCTCTATACTGAGGATCTAGGGGTCAAAATGATTTAATAACTTAGTCAAATTGATCATCTATTAATTGATGATTCATTTTCCCATTCACCAGTATACTTCTTCAAGCTCTCTTATGAAATAATGTGCTACTGTATGCACATGAGTTTAGTCCTTAAAGTTATCTGACATGAGCACATTAAGAGGATAGGAAGCACATTTCATAACATTGTACCCACCATAATCATCAGGAAGACATCCAAAGGAGCTTTAATGAATGATTATATTATTATTGCTGATTATCTTCATATTTCAGAGCATTCTTACTTTGGATCCTGAGATTTCATCTCACAGAAACTGAGTTTTCCTGGAAGCCAGCATGTGAGCGCAAACCACTGGCTCAATCACAGTTTGCTGCTGGGAGGCCCTGCTAAGCTTTGCCATTCTTTCAGAGGAGGGTTTCCCTGGGCAGCCAGCTTTCTTAGGTAGTCGCTGGGCTCCAGCTGGGGAATATCAGGGTTCTGCCTGTGATACTTCTGCAACTTCTCTAGAACTGTGGGCAGTCCCACCGTGGAAGCATAGTACATGGGTCCACCCCGGTGCCTTGGCCACCCATACCCATGCAAGTAGATAACATCGATGTGCTCTGGGCTGGCAGCCATGCCTTCTCCCAAGATACGGAAGGCTTCATTGATCAGCACATACAAGCAGCGCTCAAGGATCTCGTCCTGCCTAATCACACGTGGCTCAATGTGATAGGTTTCTCTGTACTGAGACAGAAACTTGGAAAGCCAGGGATCAGGTTTACGAATCCTACCTAGTGGCTTGTCATAGAGATACCAGCCCTTGCCTGTCTTCCGGCCAAATCTTCCTGATTCACACAGCATATCAGCAATTGGGCAGTATCTTGCATTGCCCCTCTTGCGGGCAGGGGTCCCTGGAGGCAATGCAGGTCCAGTGAGCCCTTGTTCTTTGCGAACTTTCCAGCCCACATCCAACCCCGCAAGATCAGACACTCTGAAGGGCCCCATTTTAAAACCAAACCCTTCCAGCACCCCATCTATGTCCTCTGGCTTACTTCCTTCTTCTAACAAGAAATATGTCTGGCTGTAGTATGGAGCCAACATTCTGTTCCCAACAAAACCAGGACAGTTGCCTACAACTACCCCGATCTTCTTAATCTTCTTTGATAGATCCATAACAGTGGCAATGGTAGTGGGGGAAGAGTAGCGACTGGGAATAACCTCCAACAACCTCATAATATGAGCTGGTGAGAAGAAGTGGGTGCCAATCACCAACTGTGGACGATCTGTGGCAGAAGCAATCTCGTCCACATCCAGGGCTGAAGTATTGGTGCACAGAAATGCTTCAGGCTTGCACACAGCTGACAGTTCCGCAAAGACCTGCTTCTTCAGGTTCATGTCCTCAAATACTGCCTCCACGACTAAATCCACACCAGCCAGCTCCTTTATAGAGGAAGCAAAGTTGAGTTTGGGTGCTGACCAAGATTTGCCACTGTGTTGCGTTTTGGATGCTTGCTTTTCCAAGATGGAAGCTATTGCCTTCTTTGCAGCCTCTAGTTGCTTTTGGTCTGCTTCTACAGCAATCACAGGGATCCTGGCCATTGCAAAGGAAATGGCAATGCCTCGGCCCATTGTTCCCAAACCTGTGGATTAGGAATGAAGGAGAGAATGATTTGATGGTAGTGAGAGCTCAAAACTCACCTCTCAATGGATACTTCTATGGCAATGTCACATTTTTAAAAATTGATTGGCACTGGGCACCAGTTGCTCATGCCTGTAATCCTAGGTAGTCAGGAGGCTGAGCTCTGAGCATTGTGGTTCAAAGCCAGCCCAGGCAGGAAAGTCTGTGATACTCTTATCTCCAATTAACCACCAGAAAACCAGAAGTGGTGCTGTGGCTCAAGTGATAGAATGCTAGCCTTAAGCTTGAAGAGATGAGGGACAGCAGCTCCCAGACCCAGAATTCAAGCCCTATGACCAACAACATCAAAAAAGGATTAAATTGACTTAAGGATCAAGAAATAGTTTAGACTATTTTATGTGCCCCAGAGGAAATAAAAATTAATAGGATCCATATACCCACATACAAACTATGAGAAGTAATGAATTAGTCTAACAAACGGACAAGATGCATAATACATTTTATAGTCAATTCTAAGTTGGGTGATTCACACCTGTAATCCTAGCTACTCAGGAGGCTGAGATGTGATGATCATGTTTCCAAGCTAGCCTGGGCAGGAAAATCTGTGAAACTCTTATCTTCTATTATGCACTAAAAAAGCTAGAAGTAGAGCTGCAGCTCAAGTGGTAGAACACTATCCTTGAGCAAAAAGGCTAAGGGACAGCACCCAAGCCCTGAATTCAGCCCAAGGAAGAATACCAAATAATAATAATAATACCATCTATGACGACATGAAAAACTCTAGACTTAGAAAAAATGAATAAAGAAAATATTGTGCACTAAAATCAATGAAGTACTGGGTAAATGAACTTAATGAATAGCAAGGATATTGTTCGTTTGTAAGCATTTTCCTAAGAAATGACCAAAAATAAAAGAATTGACAAATATGAAGACATAAATTAAAACACATCCAATATGCATGTAAAGGAAGATTTAATATCATTGAGATGACCTCACTTCTTAACTTTAGCTATAAAGCTACTTGATCCATAAAGCTACAAGTACATTTTTTTTATTTTTGTTGTTGTTTGTTTTCTTCTTTGGTATCAATTACACAGAATTTTCTTTAAGAATGATAGAAAATTTTCTAAAATTGATATAGAAATGGCCACATGCTTATGTTAATGAAAAATAGTAAGTTATAGTATTTCTTTTCTGTTTTGGGGTTGCTTTTTGTTGTTGTTGTTGTTGTTGGTCATGGGGCCTGAACTCGGCCTGGGCGCTGTCCCTCAGCTCTTCAGCTCAAGGCTAGTACTCTACCACTTGAGCCACAGTGCCACTTCCTGTTTTCGGGTGGTTAATTGAAGGTAAGAGTCTAATGGACTTGCCTGCTCCGGCTGGCTTTGAACCACAATCCTCAGATCTCAGCCTCCTGAGTAGCTAGGATTACAGGCATAAGCCACCAGTGCCTGGCTAAGTTGTAGTGGTTCTAGTGATACTGTCACTGTGCATCTTTTTTATATGAATTAACAATAAGTTGTAAAATTCATACAAAGATTAAGGACAAAATTATTGAAAAGAAATCAAATTAGAGAAGTCTCTACTTAATTTCAAATATTATGATAAAACTTTTACAATATAGTGTGTTACTGCTGCATAGACAGACAAACAAATGCAATAGAATTAGGCTCAGACATTAGTTATACACTAAAAGCCTATGTTAATTTTGATTAATGCCATGGTTATTCAATGAGAAAACGAAAACTCTTTAACCAATGGTGCTGGCACACTGGATATTCATGTGTAAAGCATGAAGTTGGACTCTTGTCTTAAACCATGTATAAATACTAAAATCATAAGCATAAATGTAAGAACTAAAATTCTATTGAGAATGAAATCTTTGTTTTTTTTAATTTAATTTAATTTTATTTGTGAACATACGAGAATGAAATCTTACAGGAGTACTTCTGATAATATATTTTTGTGATCTTAATTAGGTAATTAGTTTTTGAAACAAACCACTAAAAGCACAAGTAACAAAAGAGAAAAACAGAAGAACGAGATATCATGAAATTTAAAAACTTTTTTCCTTCAAAGGACACCATAAAGAAAAAGAACCAGCTTGTTAGTAACTGAAAAATGTTAAGAATGCAGTTACTATATGACCCAGAAATTCCATTTATTACTATATGTTGATACATGTATGCTTAAATGTAGACACATGCCCAAGTGATTTAGATATATAGATATATATCTCTATATACACAGTTTATAAATATATTTCAGTTACATATATCTTGAAAAAACCTGAAAACATGACCACCCAAAATTTGTACATGAATGTGGATTATTTAACATATCCAAAAAAGGTAGAAACAACTGAAAATTCCACCAACTGACAATACAAAATACCATTTTGGCCATGAAAAAAAAATAAAGTACTATTACATGCTATGATATGGATGAAAATTTTATGCCAATTTAAGAAGGTCAGACACAAAAGGAAATATGGGTGTATTATTCCACTTATACTAAATGTCTACAGTAAATAAATCTATTGAGGTATAAAGGGGACACTTTGCTTCCTGAGGAAAGTGGGAATATGCTGAGTACTAATATGCACAGGATTTCCTTTCAGGGTGACAACAAATTTTCTTTTTTTTTTTTTCTGGGGTTCGGTCATAGGGCCTGAACTCGGGGCCTGGGTGCTGTCCCTCAGCTCTTCAGCTCAAGGCTAGCGCTCTACCACTTGAGTTACAGCACCACTTCCGGCATTTTTGTTTTTTCTTATGGGGTGCTGAGGAATCGAACCCAGGGCCTCATGCATGCAAGGCAAGCGCTCTACCACTGAGCCACCTTCCCAGCCCGACAACAGATTTTCTAAAAGTTTTGGGGTAATGGTCACATACTTATGTTTCTAAAAACCACTGAGCTATAATTTTTATGTGTGCATGGTAATACTACGATGCTCAAGAATTCGGTTAAGCCAGGGGTCTGGGAAGGTGGCTCAGTGGTAGAGCGCTTGCCTTGCATGCATGAGGCCCTAGGTTCCATTCCCAGCACCACATAAGCAAAAAGAAAAAAGCCAGAAGTGGCGCTGTGGTTCAAGTGGTAGAGTGCTAGCCTTGAGCTGAAGAGCTGAGGGACAGCGCCCAGACCCAGAGTTCAGGCCCCACGACCGGACCCCCCCCCCAAAAAAAGAAAGTTGTTTTGGGCTGGGATGTTGCTCAGTGGCAAAGTGCTTGCCTAGCAAGTGCAACATCCTGGGTTCGATCCCCAGTACCAAAAAAGAAAAGACAAAAAAATACAGTTAAAAAAAAAAAAAGAATTCGGTTAAGCTGGGCACCAGTGGCTCAAGCCTGTAATCCTAGCTACTCAGGAGGTTTGAAGACAGCCCTAGCAAGCAAAAGGCAGAAGTGGAGGTATGGCTCAAGTTGTAGAACACCAGACTTGAGGGTCTTAGGGATAGAGGCTGGGAATGTAGGAACATTCCATAGGACACATGGGAACAATGGAAGGTCATATCACAAACTCATGTTTCTGTGTTGTTTTATTGCCAGTACTAGGCTTAAACTCAGGAATTCTTTCTTGCTTAATCGGTCTTTTGTGTTTGGCTGGCATTCTACTATTTGAGTAATGTCTCTACTCCAGCTTTTTTTAAATTGTAGATTGCAGGGCTTGAACTCAGGACCTAGGTGCTGTCCATGAACTCTTTTTGCTCAAGGCTAGTGCTCTACCACTTTGAACCAGCTCCACTTCTTGTTTCCTATAGATTAATTGGAGATAAGAGTCTCACTGACTTTCTTTCCTTGGCTGGCTTTGAACCACGATCCTCAGATCTTAGCCTCCTGAGTACTAGGACTACAGGTGTGAGCCACCAGCACCTGGCTTTTTGCTGGTTACTTTGGACATAGAGTCTATTAGGGTTTTTTGTCTGTGCTGGCTTCAAACTGTGGTCATGTAGAGCTCAGCCTGTTAAGAAACCATGACCAAGAGAAATAAATGGATCCAGGGATCAAAAAGACAAGAGAGGGCTGGGAATGTGGCTTTGTGGTATACTGCTTGACTAGTTGGGTTTGATTCCTCAGTACCACATAAACAGAAAAAGCCAGAAGTGGCACTGTGGCTCAAATGGGAGTGCTGGCCCTGAACAAAAGAAGCTCAGTGACAGTGCTCAGGCTCTGAGTTCAAGCCCTAGAACTTGGGAAAAAAAAAAAAGACAAGTGAATGCATTTCAAATACCTAACCACAAAAGGACAGGCTACATTTTGAAATACGGTACAAATAATATTCCTTATTAGGAAACCCTAGAGTGAGAGATTCATAGAAGGAAGCAGTTTGGAAGAGTTAAAAAAAAAAGTTCAGTCTGGAGTCACACATACCTAGTTTCCTCACTGTTGAAAAGGTTAGTTAGCTTCTCTACACCCTCCTACATAAAACAAAGAGCTCATGGTATGGTGTGAGAATTAAGAAACCTAACAAAGCAATAAGTTCAGCACAGAACTTCATATCTGGCAGCCTGAGCAAATAAGCACACATATGTAAATTGTGGTGAGCCCCATGAACTCTCCCAGAACTTACCAAGAATACCAACTGAAGAGATGGGTCTCCCTGAAGCTGTTTTCCAGGATGCCCCAGAGGGACTTGACCACTTATTTACATTCCTTTCTGCAAAGAAAGCATACTGCAGGGCTCTAGCTTGCCCTGATTCCCGAAGGTACCAAAACAGTTTCTCCTCCTCCTTGATGCCTACTTCATAGGGATACTTCACAGAGGCCTGCACTGAACGGACACATGTCTCTGGAGCAAGAACACCAGGGTACTGCTTTCGCATCTTGGCAAAGGCCTCACTGAAAATGGCGTCCATGTTGGGCAAGCTCGGAACTGTCTTGTTCAAGATTCTGCGTGGTTCCAGAGGTTTATCTGGAAGGAAAAAGACAGAGCAGAGCGTTTCCAAGTGGTACTTGCAGTAAGGGAAAAATAATATATGACAAGAATAACAACAGTAGCAATAACCGGTTACAAGTCAAAGTATCAAAGTATATCCTAATCCTCAAGCTATTTAATGGAACACTAGTTTCATCTCTATCTTTGTAACTTTGTCTTATAAGATAGTATTTAAGAGACTGATGTAATAGTAAGTTACCTAATTGAGGCATAAACTTTTAAGTATCTTTTTATTTCAAGGCTAAGACCATTTTATAATAGATTAAATATTGGTCTGTCAGTGAATCTAAAGAGGATAGTTTCTAATTAATATTTTTACATTTAACATTCCTTAAACTCATTTCTACTAACAAAATCATAAAACACCAGGGAAAACAGTATGATACAGATGTATGGGTAGGCACAGATACCAATGAAGAAAACTGCTAGATCAGTAACTAATCATTACAATTACACTCTACCTTCCTTCTTACGTATTTGCAGTATTTGGTTGGAGCTCAGATTCCATTGAACTTTCCCACTCTACTTGAGCCATGCCCTCAACTGATTTTAAACATAGGTAGAAAACAATCAGTGAAAGAGTATTGGGGGAAAAATTATGCTAGGATAATTGGATAGTCACAGGCTAAATAAAGAAATAAATTTACATCCTTACCTAGCATCACACACAAAAACTAAAAGTGGATGATAAATGCATGGGTGGTCTAAAACTATGCACAGTTCTGGAAGAAAATGGAAGGGCAGCTTTGTAATCTTGGCCTAGGCAATGTCCTCTTAGATACAATAACACTTGCATGAGCCACAAAAGAAAAAAAATTAAGTTGAACGACAACACATCTTTTAAAAAATTAATGCAGAGGGCACTATTAAGAGAAGGAAATGAAGAGCAATAGCATGGGAGGAAATGTTTCAGCAGCAGGCAAAGCAACATCAGCCTTCCAGTGTCCACTTTCTACCACCAGAATCTATGACAGTATTGACTAAGAAGAGAAATGGAGTGTGTAAGTGGGATTAAGAGGAGAGGTATTGAGATGGGAGACTACCTTGCATGATCTGTACGGGCCTAATATAACATAGTTGTCATGAAAGAGGTCTAACAGAAGGGTCTAGAGAGATGAAACAGCAGAAAGACATGATCTCAGACAAAAAGGTAGCTTTCAACATGGGAGAAGGAGACAAGAACCAAGGTATCTAGTTGTCTCTAAAGCAAGGAACCAACCTCAGTTTACACACAGCAAGAACTCAAGGAACAGGGCTCACAAGGCAAGCTAAGGAATTCTATCAACCATTCAAATATCCAGGAAATGGTTCTGCCCTTAAGTCTGTAGAAAGGAATGCAGCAGCTAACAGCTGGATTTTTTTCTCCAGTCAAACTCTGCCAGACTTCGACCCTACATAAATCTATGACAACAAATCTATATTAGTCAAATTGCTAGTCCGGTCATAATTTGATATCATAGTAGTAGAAAAAAATTATACAAGTTTCACATGAAATGTCCAACAAAGAGCTGGTATTCACACTATATAAACAACTCTTACAACCTAATGAAAAGAAGTCAAACAATTCTATTCTTTAGAGGCGGTGGGATAAACTTGAGCAGATATTTCTCCAGAAGATATATAAAAAGCTACTTTGTCCATGGGGAAAAAAATTCCATTAGCCATAAGGGAAATGCAAAATAAAACCAGAGCAAATGTGTTAACATTCACTGTCAAAGTAACGGGACATCATTTCTGAGACTGATTCTGTCTTCTTACTCTCTCTTGCTTTCATAATCTAATGAGAGCCACTTGTCAGGCTGTGAGCTGCCTTATGGTGAAACCAATATGGAAACAAACAAACAAACCGAGGAAGACCTTTAGCTGATAGCTGATGGCCCTGGATGAAGGACCATCAGGACATAAGGAACTGAAGCTTGAAACAACCCTTTGAAGCTCAAGAGCTCCCCCAGATATTGAGATCACTACAGCTACAGCCAATGTTACAAGTCTAACTTGGATTGAAGCTTTGTGTAAAACCCAAAAGCCAGAGGACCTAGCTAAGCACATCTAGAGTCCTGACATACAAAAATTGTATGACAAATGCTTGAGTTTAAGCTGCTAAGTTTTGAGAGTGATTATGTTGCTGCAGATAATGAGCAAAGACCCACTAGAAATGCTGTAAAAAAAGACATCAATACCAAATGTTGGTGATTATGTGGCGAAACTACAACTCTCATTCATTACTTCTAAGTATGGAAGATGGGAATCACTTTGAAATACTGTTATCTCCAAAATAAACAAACATGAACTTATTGTTTAACAACGTGACTAACAATCTACCTGAAAAAAATTAAAGCTTATGTCCACATAAAATTTGTCTGTAGACACTCATAGCATCATTACTCATAATTGCAAAATCTAGAAATAACCCAAATAAAGAAAATATTTTATAGCCTTATCACAGAATGCTGTTCACCAATAAAAAGAATAAAGTAGGGGCTGGGAAGGTGGTTCAGTGGTAGAGTGCTTGCCTTGCATGCTCAAGGCCCTGGGTTCGATTCCTCAGCACCACATAAGCAAACAGAAAAAAGCCGGAAGTGGCGCTGTGGCTCAAGTGGTAGAGCGCTAGCCTTAACCGAAAAGCTGAGAGACAGTGCCCAGGCCCAGAGTTCAGACCCCACAACCGGACCCAAAAAAAAAAAAAAAAAAAAGAATAAAGTACTTCTAGGCAGAATGGTTCACATTAGTAATTGAGAGGCTGAAATAAAAGGATCAAAACTTTGTGGCCAGTTCAAGCAAAATTTACAAGATTCCACCTCAAGCAATAAGGTTGAACAAGGTGGAGGACATTTGCTATCCTATCTACCCAGGAGCAATAAATAGGATTGTGGTCAGGCTAGCACTGGGAAAAACACAAGACCCAATATGAAAATTAAAGAAAGCGGAAGTGCCAGGGCCCAGGATTAAGTGCTTGAGTGTCTTCTTAGCCTACCCACATCCACTAGTGTGTGGGTAAAGAGTGGGGGAGGGAAGAACAATTACTAACATATGCTCCACACCACTTGAACTTTTTAGAAAATACTGAATAAAGTCAGATACAAGTGATTTTGTTATGCAGTGTTATTTATATTAAATGCCCAGAAAAAGGCAAACATAGAGACAGGAAGATAATTATTCGTTGCCTAGGATATGGTATATTGAGTGAGAGCTAGAGTAGGTATTAAAAAATGTTTTGTGACGGGGGCTGGGAAGATGGCTCAGTGGTAGAGCACTTGCCTTGTATGCCTGAGGCTCTGGGTTCGATTCCTCAGCACCACATAAACAAAAAGAAAAAAGCTGGAAGTGGCGCTGTGGCTCAAGTGGTAGAGCACTAGCCTTGAGCTGAAAAGCTGAGGGACAGCGCCCAGGCCCAGAGTTCAGACCCCATGACCGGACCCCCCCCCAAAAAAAACGAAATGTTTCATGGGAATAGAAAAGGTTTAAAGTTTAATATGCCTCATTGAAGATACTATAGTATGTCTAGAAATGAATTAACCGAGAGAGGTTTAAGACCTTAATGAAGATAGCTATAGTATTTTATAGAACACAAAGGACACTTGCTCCTAAATATATTTAGTTTCCATTGGTGTTAGTAAAAATTATAACTGGAACCAGTGTTCTATACTTCACTAAGTATCTCAACAAAATTATCCTAAAACTTACAAAAAAGAATAATGACTAAAACTTATAGTTACCAAAACTTCAGGTACATAAGAAATTGTTTTCTAAAATGTGCTTGTGTCTCAGAAATATTCTATTATATCACAAATGTACATCTTAGGAATTCAGAAGACCTAACAAAGCTTATAAAGCAGTGTATTATAGACGGACAAATGAATATGAGTCAGCCTTGGGCCTGTACTGGTGTGTTAAGATGTGTCAAAGGCAGAATGAGCAGTCTGGATGTTATCTGCACATGAGGCATTCTATAATCTCAGCCTCTCATTTTATTTTTTCAGTATGGGGACTTGAACTCAGGGTCATATGCTTGCTAGAAAGGCACTCTACTGCTTAGCCATGTCTCCGGCCTTTTTGGGCTGGTTATTTTGAGATAAGGCCTTATTTCTTGGCTGATCAAGTACCTGGGCCACAATCTTCCTTTTTTTTTTCTTTCCATAGCTAAGAAGACAAGCTCATTTCGCCATGCCCATCTTCATCTGGGAGATGGAGTCTCATGCACTTTTCTGCTGGGCTAGGCTAGAATCATGATCTCACATTCTCAGCCTGCTATGTAAGTAGGATGACAGAACTGTGCCACTGTGCCCTGCTACTGGTTAAAAAGGAACCTCATGTGTATATCCAGGCTTGCCTTAAACTACGATTCTCCTGACCTCAGCCTCCCAAGCATCTGGGATTACAAGCATGATCCATTGGTGTCCAATTCTTTTTATAAACTAAATGCAAGAATATTTCTTGATGTATAATTTATAAAGTTGACAATAGCTTTCTAAATGACTAATAGTTAAGAACAGCAATAAGGGTAAGTGCCAGTGCCTCACACTTGTAATCCTAGCTACTTTGGAGAAGAAAAGCATCACAGTTTGAGATTGGCCCAGGCAGAAAAGTTTTCAGGATTTGTTCTTAACCTATATCTGGTCACAGTGGTACAGGCTTATCATCCTAACTAGATGGGGAGCTAAGACTGGGAGAATCTTATTCCAGATCAGCTCAGGTAGAAAAGGCATTATAAATTTATTTTTTAATTTAATATAAGAATTATTCCAAAAACTACAATTAATTAAAAAAAACAAAATCAGATTATATTCTAAGTGAACTATGATTTTCATTCATTTCTTTTTCTTTTTTTTTTTGGGTCGGTCGTGGGGCTTGAACTCTGGGCCTGGGCGCTGTCCCTCAGCTCTTCAGCTCAAGGCAAGCGCTCTACCACTTGAGCTACAGCGCCACTTCCTCATTTATTTCTTAAAGTAACTCAAATCTCAAATCGGGTTATAAGTATTTCAATAAGGAAATAAATACCTTGTAGCAATTGAGGTCTTTACTAACTTGAACCAGAGTGAGAATGGTCTACCTTGAGCCCAATCCAAAGGGTAATTTAGGGACCCCTAAGGCCAACAGCATTTGCTTTGACTCAACTAAGTGAGGTATAACAAAACAAGCAGGTCTCAGAACTCTGAGACCTGGTGAAGATAAACAGGAAGACAGAAGAACAGTAAGGAAATTATTTCCATTTGGGCAAGGAAATCTTTAAGGTTTGCACAATTTTCTCCCACAGCCTCTCACCTCTCCAGTGCCACCCCTATTTTTACACTGAAACAGGAACTAGATGGACCATAATGGAAAGGTGAGACTTCTTTTGTCAGCCAAACAAATCGTATTTTCAAAGGACTGTCTTGGAATGACTCAGAGCCTTTGCTGCCACCTTGTGGGCAAACAGCACACACTCTCTGTGCTAAGGCCAAAACACTCCTTCAAGGTAATTTTCTCTGTCCCTTTTTCTTGCTAGTTCAGTGCTGACATCATCCATAGACTTTGAAAAGGAATACATTAAGCTAACCCAACAAGTAAACAAACAAATTTATGGTAACCACCTAAACGACTGTAATGGAAATCTTTTTTGTGTGTGAAAATAAGGTAAGTTTATTTGGAAAGGAAGTCACTTCCAATTAACTAAAAATAAGTCATCTCTAGGGTAAAAATGACTCTCAAAGGAACATCATGCATCTGTAAAGTGAGAACACCTGTCATGGACATGGTGACTCGGTCATTGCCACAGACCCTCCAGAGGACACAGCTTTGTGTGGGGAATTGCAGGGCCTGTCTGTGTTCTCCTGTAAAACATGGGTTTGCTCCTCTGTATCAACGCTAATTCTATTTTTTAACTGGAAAAACACTCATAGGGCAAAAAACTTCAAAGTCATATACACAGAGCAGCCATTTATTTCCTAAAAATCCTTACTTAAGCAGAGATTAGCACTCATTCATGCATTTTCCTCATACACATATTTGATTTCATCCTCTCTTGTTATACCATTGGTATACCCCAACATACAATGATGCTTTTTTTCACTAACACATTATATCATGGAGTTTATTGCTTGACAGTACATTAATCCCTAAGGAGTATCACATTCCATCACATGGATGCTCCTTATTAAAATGCAACTAAGGCTTGTTCCCAATACTGTGATACATCTATTATTGGCTTCTTACCAACAATTTGCTGAGCAAATTTGATTGCTTCTTCAAGCACATCTAAGTTCACAACTTTATCCACAATCCCCATCTTGAGTGCTTCACCTGCCAAAATATGCCTTCCTAAAACAAAAGCAAAAAACACAAAGAACAATGTAAGATGGAAGCACAACATTGTTCTTCTCTCTGGAAGACTTATTATTAGTAAAATAAAGGATACCACTCAGACTACTGTAAAAGGAAGAACACCACAGAAATAGGAAGAAAACAGATTTAAGGGGCAGCTCAATTTCCACGGTCAGAGTGACTGTGGGAAATAGCATCAGAACCACAATCTCTTCACTGATAAATGGCAGGAACTATACCTGCCTGAGGCAAAAATAACATATCTTCTTCCTATTCCATAAAAGTCTAAAGAAGTAATTTATATAATATTAATCTAATTAGAAATCCGAAAGCGTTGATTTTTCAGATAATGAAAAAGTAGCAGTACTTCAATATACCTTATATCTACTATACACGAGGGACTGTAATTGATTAACTAAAAGAAAAGAATAGTCCCCAAACATAAACAAAGTTGGTAAGACAGGAAATGTATCAGCTAAGACTAAATGATATAATACTGGTCACCACTGGTTCCTATTTACTCAGGAGGCTGATATCTGAGAATCTAGGTTTGAAGCCAGCCCAGGATGAGCTGGATTGAGCGATGGCTCAAGAGCTAACCATGAGCAAAAAAGCTCAGGGTCAGTGCTCAGGGCTTGAGTTCAAGCCCTGGGATCAGCATACACACACACACACACACACACACACACACACACACACATGAAATGAAATAAAGCACTATTGAAATTATGTAGTAGGAGAAAGTGGGGAAGACTTTTGCCATATTTTGGCACCCAGCACCTTGACCAAACCTGCTTGTTAAATTTCTATTTGATGAGTCCATGTATGAATGCAGAGATGATTAGACAATCATTTCTTCAGGTCCCTAATAGTGGAGCATAACCTGTGACCTCAAGCTAGCTGAACAGAGTGCTCTACTGAGGGTTCTTAAGCTGAAGTCAAGGATACTAAAGTAGCAGTAATGATGGTGGTAACGGTAGTATGCTGTGGCTGACAGTTTCCAGTGTTCTCAGGGCACTGGAAGCCTCCAGTAGAGAACACTACTTCTAAAGGGTGATAGAGCTGCAGGCAGTTTATGTCTATAGTGAAGATGATGACCCCGGGTTAAGGTCTTTATAAGATCCTGTGTAAATCTAAGACAAGATCTCAAGGCACAGAGAGCTCTTCTTCAAGCTGCAGAATTTTCTCCCTAGTTTTCTTTACCATGTCTTTCAAAAGTTAAAAAAAAATCCAAATGCCATTTTAAAGTTCCCCACTATCTCCTCCAAATATAGGTGTACAATTTTACTGCCAGCTTTCTTCTAATTCACTGTGACCATTTCCATAAACTCAAAAATGGTTCTCATGACTACCGTTTCCACTTCTTGTCTTCACTGTACTAAACATGGGGATATTTCCTGGTCTAGTGTTCTGGAAAAAGAAACTAAGCCTCATTTGTTTCATGTCATTATAATCAGAAAGCCAGTTTTCTTCCTTGATTCCCCCAAATACTAACCTAGTTCATTGTCATCACATCACCACATAGTGATGTGAGAGAATGATTACTATCTCATTTCTGGAAGATAAGGAAGACAAAGATAAAGTCCTTGATGCACAACCTCAAAATGAATTGCACTTATTTTGGAGTAAATGGTTTTATACTCTTCCCTCTAGTGTTATACAATTGAAAGTCTCCTGATATGTCCTACAAAGTAAAACATTTGGTGAATCTAGAGTTTAGTGCTACGTTGTTGAGGCTTACACTTGAAAAATAAAAGTTTTCTTATACAATTAATAACTTACTGAAGAAAGGAACACATCCATTGTCTGCTGAAACTTGAAAATACTAGTTTTGACTCGTTGATTTGAATATAATATTCTCAGTGTGATTCCTTGGTTCTATGAATAGTCACTTCAACTTTAATACAACTCTCAATTTGATGAGCATTTTGCATATACTCTCTTTTGAGCTTTTATGCTCAAGGCTAGCACACTACCAGTTGAGCCACAATTCCACTTCCTGCTTTTTGGTGGTTAACTGGAAGTAACAGACTCTGCCTGGGCTGGGTTTGAACCGCATTCCTCAGATCCCAGGTTTCAGAGTAGCTAGGATTACAGGTACACTGGCACACAGATTACACTCCTTTCCAAGACTCACATGTAGCATTTTCATTTAAGAAGTTCTCCGGCAGTGGTGGGTGAGGGAAAGAGGGAGAAAAATGAGGGAAGGGGTAACAAGTTAGACAAGAAATGTAATCACTACCTATGTAACTGTAACCCCTCTGTACATCATTTTGACAATAAAATTTTAAGAGAAAAGAAGTTCTCTAGGCAAGTTCTATTTTCATTTTAAGATGAAATTTTAAAATGAAGACAATTTAAAGAAACCCTGCTGTTATATGGGTAGTAAAGGGGCCAACCCAGGATGCTTCTAGGTGCTGGGACCTTCCTCACAGTGATCTAGACAGGTGCCCAAAGTGTATACTGACCTGAGGTTATCAAGTCAAGTGCAGCAGGAAGTCCAATAAGTCTGGGAAGAAGCTGGGTTCCTCTTGCACCAGGAAGGATTCCCAGAGTGACTTCTGGGAAACCAATCGCAGTCTATCAGACATTGAAATAGAAAGCCCATTACAATGAGATCACATGTTCAGAGTGAAGACAAGCACCTCCGAGGGTTTCCTACATCCTCAATAATGCACATGTTTCAATTACCTCAGTCTTTCTAGAGGACAGACTAGTATATAGTGTTAAAATATGTCATTGGTTTCTGGCGCCTTTTTCCTCTTACCTGTGTCAGACAACAAATATAGCCTCTACAATCAATTTGCTGGGTTGCTGTTAAGAGGCAGAAAACACAAGAAAGTAATGAGGAAACCCAGAGCAAGGAACAGAATGTAGGCAAATTATGTTTAAAATAGGACACAAAGAATTTTAGAATTCAACCACAAAATAACTAATACAAAATGGGCAAAGATCTTAATAGAGAAATCCCCAAAGAAGAAATATTAATGGTCAATAAACAAATGGTAAATGAAAATATTCAATATGTATGCCAAGATCCAGTGGCTCACACATGTAATCCTACCTACTCAGGAGGCTGAGATCTGAGGATCACACAGCAAAGCCACAGGGACAAGAAAGTTCATGAGATTCTTAGCTCCAAATTAGCCACAGAAAAAAGCCAGAAGTAGAGCTGTGCCTCAAATGGTAGAGTGTCAGCCTTGAATGAAAAAGCTAAAGGACAGAGTTCAAGCCTCAGTATAGGCACAAAAGAAAAAGCTCGGGTTGGGAAGGTGGCTCAGCAGTAGAGCACTTGCCTTGCATGCATGAGGCCCTGGGTTCAATTCCTCAGCACCACATAAGCAAAAAGAAAAAAGCCGGAAGTGGCGCTGTGGCTCAAGTGG